ACCCTAGAAACTATGAAACTATGAAACTATGAAAAATAAACTCCTTTCCAACTAGACACCAGGACTTTTTAAAATTTGGGCTGTATATGATTTCCAAAGGTGAAACAACAAGACATTGGCAGAATCAGAGTGACAGATCAAGTCACTTCACCTAAGCAAAGCACAGATATTAAAAAAGCCCAAGGCAGAATCAATCTAATCGACATGGGTTTCTCTAAACTGCGTAGATTGGATGGGGAGCTAATGAAACATTTTTGCTCTTTGGTGGGGGAGGCATACAGATGCCTGCACTGATGGAGGTCAGAAGGAGGGAAGCACTCTCGCACACCTCCCAGCCTGATGGAGCGCAGCTGAGTGGGGGCCTTCCCTGATTGTCTGTCAGGCAAATGTCCCAACCCCCCAGCTGCCACTGTGGTACCTCTCTCTCACCCAGCCCCAGGCCCCCAGAAAAGCCCCAGAGTGGGTCACCATGGCAACATCCCTCCAAAGCCACCCCTGGAAGCCCAGGGTTGGGCACAGGGGAGGGCTCATAGTGGCTGTCGGGGTCAGGGGGGTGTGCCCAATAGCTGATCAGGGATGGCCCAGGTCTGTAGAAGCAGCCAGTGCCAGGCACTGGGGACAGGAGCACTCTGTATAAGGGCAGCTGCAGAGGGGAAGCCCCAACCATGGAGGCCCCTGCCCCCAGCTGTTGTGGGGATGAGGCTGGGGCAAGGCCTCTGTCCCCCCTTCTCCCTCATGTGCACTGTTGACAACTGACTACTCATGGGGGGCAGGACTGGTCAGCCAGGCTGCAGGCAGGGGCAAAGCTCATGCCCCCAAATACCCCCCAGCTTTGCTGGCACAGGCCAGGCCAGCCTCCTCTCTGCCACCTAGGTGCCATGTCTCCTGCCTGCGCCTGTGCCTGCTCAGCTATGCCCAGCTCCGGTCCTGTGTGAGCTAGCACAGCTCCAGGGAGCAGGACTGGAGTCCTCCCCTCCTTCCCCCAGAGGCAGGAATCTGCAGCCCCATACCTGTAGCAGAGAAAGGGGGGACCCTGCAGAAAGAAGAATCAGGCCCCCTAAGCCCTGGCAAAAAACAGGCAGTGGCAGCAGGTGCCAAGCATGACTGCAGGAATCATGCCGGACACCCACTGCCACTGTGTGCAGCCTGACAGAGCCCTGTGGGGCCCTTTCTTCTCCCACAGAGCCCACCCATTCCTACCTAGGAACATTGTATAAAGATAGAAAATTCCTGAGCTACAGATGCACCCTTCCTTCCCTCCACCCTCCCGTACCTGTGTCTAACAGCTTGGAGCAGCCGAGCATGGCCAAGGCTGGTAAGCCACCCTGTGAGGGAAGGTTAGCGGGGAAGCTGCTAACACTACCCAGAGAGGTTGTGGATTCTCTTTCCTTAGAGGTTTTAAGACCTGACTAGACAAAGCTTTCATTGGGATGATATCATTGGGGATGGCCCTGCTTTGAGGAGGGGGTTGAACCAGGTGACCTCCTGAGGTCCCTTCCAGCCCTAATTTATTTATGATTCTGTGATTCTATCCCAGGTCTATCTTGAGCTGGGAGGGGATCTGGTACTGAAGTGTGACAGATCGATTTAACCTGAATCCTTTTAGTTTGATACTACATCCATCCAGATCTATCTTAGACCAGATTCCACAATTTTTAAACCAGTCTATATGCTCCAAACTTCTGTTCTGTTATGGGTATAGACTGGTTTCAGACCACCTAAACCAGAAAAAGTGTAACATCTGCGCTTGGCCATAAACTACAGTTCCTATTTTCTGGTTCAAGATACCAAGTGAATCCATGGAAATTCATCCTGCTTTTTCCTCCTTCCCATTCTCCTTCAGGCTCTTTAGCAGGATGTCTGCAGTATATTACTGAAATGTAGGAATTGCCTTGCAGGATCAGACCCACAGCCTATTCAGTCTAGTATTCTGTCTTGGACAGCAGCTAGAATTAGATGCTTCAGAGGAAGCTGTCTTGGTAGAAAAAAGTGGGACATACCTTTCATGAAAATCTAGGCCTAATTTTAAGTACAGAGACTGGGAGATGAGGAAGTTGGCTTTCCAGCACAGAACTCTTTTTTGGTAGCCTTTGGTATTATAACCAAAAATTCTTGTGATTTATACAAATGTCCAAGCACTCTTCAACTCTTGCTAAATTCCTGGCCTCAATTATAACCTGACAAAACATTTTTTTTTTTCCCTACAGAAAAATCATTTTAAGGGAGGAAAAAGATTTCTGTGCAACTTAAAAATATAAAACGTTTTAGAACAGAAATCACACCTTCAGAAAGTGCCAGACTTTTTAATGCCATTTATTCCTCTCAACAAATTAGGGAATATATATGGTTTTTTGGCACAACAATTTTGGGTCCTCTGTTCCATTCAATACAGTTTCCCCTTAACATGAATAGGCATTACAAGGAAAGAATAGGTCATGTTAATGAAAATGTATTTCTGTCTGAAAAAGCACCACATGCCAAAGTAGTTGTTATAGCAAAAACTTGTTTTCATAGAAAACAAAGTATAAAAAAAGTCAGTTCTCAACCACTGAGGCAATCTGTCCAGCCATAATCCATTTTACTAGATGGCAACAGCTGTTCAGGCAACAGCTTTTGTCAGCCTTTCAAGAACTGGTTTATGGTCATTGCTTGTGTGGCTGTTTTGGAGTTGTACTTCAGGTGGATAAGTATGAGGAAAACAAGATCATGGTAAAGCTATTAAATAAGTCACCAAGACAAATAGCTAGTAGCAAAGTGGTTTTCAAAAGGGAGAGTGGTTATGACAGGAAGTTAAAATTCAGGTAGTGTCATCAAACAGTAAACAGTCTGGGGTTGGACCACCCTGACAAACCAGGGTATAACTGCTATTATAATCATCCTTTCCCTCGGTACTTATCTAAAGAAAAAAAGATAAGCTAAAGATAGTTACTTGTTCACTAGAATAAAAGAGGGTACTTGCCAGAGTAAGTTTTAATGACCAGCAAAAAGTATATGACTTGGATATATGGATGCTTGTCCAAATAGCAGGACCTGTGAAATCTGCAAAGTTGAGTATGAAAACTTACAAGACCAGACTGTTGTGAGACTACTATTTCTTCATTTCAGTTTGGTGAGAATCACAACAAAAATAGCATTTATTGTGGCAAGAAAGTACTTCCACTGATTGGCAGAATTGTAAAGGACAGAGATGCTAAATGCTGCAAATAATTATCCATGTGGATAACTGTACTTTCCAAGAGGCAGGGTCTGTGAACCAGATTTCATTTATGCCAGTGTAAATGTGAAACAATGTAATGGGAGTTGGAGGAAACTTCTGGATCAGGCTGTACACATTGCAAATAATAATCCAAATTCCAGAACATGTAAACAGTTTCAGTTCAAATTCTGGAAAAAGGTTCATGGTCATTCTTGAACTGGCTTTGTTTTCCTTTAACATACATATGAGCTGTGAGGTTTATTCCTTTTGCAAAATACCTTATGTGGGACTTTTAGATAAACAAGTCTTTTGGCTGTATTCAAGAAATGATGTTAGAAGGATTAAAAGAAGAGATAAAAAAATTATCAATTTTAACACCCTGCCCCAGAAAAATTACAGTTAGCTTGTGAGCATCTATAAAGTAGTTGCAGGTGGCTGGTGGAAGAAGACAGGTTTTCCTTTGGATACATCAGTCTCAGAGTGATATATATATGAGAGACAAGGCCTCTTTTTCTCTAATCCTTTTATAGCTTTAGAAGATTAAATTCCTTGTTCTTATGAAGATGGTGCATGTCACATACTATTGCTGCATTTCCTTACAATGGCAGATGGATGCACTTTTCCTGAACCTTTCAGTAAAATCATTGTAGCAATTAGTGCCAATATTTTGTGCAATGGTACAAATGATCACAAAGCTCTCTTGTCATATCTTTTCTTACCAAGTTGCTCTGCTAAATGTTTGCCTCTCTCAGTAGGGATTATCCGTTCGTCCTCCATGTCACATTTGTTACCGACCAAAATAACCTGGGCATTATCCCAAGAGTATGTTTTGATTTGAGTTGACCTTAAAAAGAAAGAGAGAGAGAGATCAAAGCAAATTTCTCCCAAATCCGTTTCATTCAGAATTACAATAAAGCAAATAAGGACAAAACCGATATTGACATTTGAGCTAAAATGTTCAAATAAAGATGGGAGTGAACATTTATGAAAAAAACAAGTATCATCTGCAATCTCCCAAATCATAACAAGGCATGACTTTGGAAATTTTCTGGGGTGTTTTTTTCTACCAGTAGCATTTCTTCCTGAATTCCTGGTGAGCAGCTGATATACTTTCCTAACATAAAACAAAGATGTATTTTAACATTACAGCAAAAATGTAATCACTGCTCTAAAGATAGCAGATTATTCATGTTATGTTCCAGCTTCCAGGATTAGGACTTAATTTATCAGCAAAGCTTCAAAGATTTCCTCCCAGTACATTCAACTATAGCCCTTGGTCTAAAGAAGTTTTCTTATCCAGAACACTTACTTTCAGTTCATTGTTTCAGAAATTATTTGTCTGTGACTATGTGACAGTTTGGCTGTCTTCCTAATGTTCAGACAGCATGAAATCAGCCTTTTTTGTTTGCCAGGATATTTTCTTTTCCTATTATTTGTAGGCTGGTGATGAATGGTCAATCAATGGATTTGGTCCCATTATAACGAATGGCCCTGGTTAGGAAATATAGAGTTAAATAACTCTATAATAGCTCTAATTCAGTGGCTACCATGGAAGAGAGAGAATAGGAACATCCTCCTGTTCTGATGTGTTCAGGGCAAGGTAAGATTAAAGGACCTGTACAAAGACAGAACAACTGTGTAGCCTCTATGTCCAGATGCCAGTCTACACCAGCTTAGACCCATGGGGTGCATCCACACGAGCGCACGCTTTCTTGCAGCATCTCAAAGTCCTTTGAGATGCTGTAAGAGGCACCTGCAGGAACCAAAAGCATTCCCTGCACTGCAAATTTGTACTGTGGGGTCAAAATTAAAGCCCTGGATATCCAGGGGTCAAAAAAAACCATGGGGGGAAAAAAGAGGGGCAGGGCAGGGTCCCAGACTGTGCCCTGAGGCAACCAGAGGCTTGGTCCTCCACAGCAGTGGTTCTTAGCCTTTGGTACCTTACGTACCCCCCGCTGATCACCGCAGCAAAAGTGAAACCAGAAGTCCCACTGTGGCACTTCTGGTTTGCCACTGTGAGCCAAGTCTCACTTTTTCCACCGTGACCTGGGGCAAAGCAGTCTGCACAGGGCCTCCCTCCCTATCTCCCAGCATGCTGACACTGGGGAATGAAAGCCCCGGTGAGCCGGACACAGCAGGAGGGGCAGCAGCTGGAACCAAGACCAAAACACAGCACCTGCATACCCCTGCCTGTGTCTCGTATACCCCCAGGGGCACGCATACCATGGGTTGAGAAACACTGCTCCACAGAGTTGCTCTGGTAGCCTGCCATAGTGTCTCTATGGCTGTCCCTCACTCCGGTGCTGAAGCATGCTGCCTGCCCATGCCTGCCAGCTGCAGGGAGCTGGACCCCAGCTCCTGCCAGTAAGTAGGAAGTCAGGGGGCCTGGAGGATGGGGGAGGGAACCATGGGGGAACCCCTACCAACCTCGCCTGCTCTCCCAACACCCCAATTGCTGCCCTGCTTGGCCCCATCCCCTGCCCACTCCCCCAGCACCCCAATTGCTGCCCCACATAGCCCCATCCCCCACCTGCCCTCAAGTTCCCCCAACTGCTGACGCCCACAGCCCCATGCCCTGCCTGCAGCCTGAGCCCCCTGATCGCTGCCCCACCCAGCCCCAGCATCCCAGGAAAAAAAAAATAGCCCCACACTCACCGGCAGTAACAGCTCCTGTCAGGGTCACTGGGGCCTCGTGGCAGAGTCCCAACACACAGTGTGGAGCCCAGGTGACAGCCACAGTGGCCCCAGCTGCCCGACAGCACATGGAACTGCACAGTGCCCTGCTGACCCTGGCTGCACCTGCATGATGGGGCAGCGGCAGTGTGGGTGCCAGGTGGCTGGAGCTGGGCTCTGCTGCCCTGTGCTGCATGGGGGGGGGGACCTCTGCCATGAGGCCCCAGTGACCCCCACAGAAGCTGCTAGTGCCAGTGACTGCATAGCTTTTTTTTTTTTTTAAGTGCCAGGAGGCTGAGGCTGGGGGGA